AACACTTGGTTATCTAGTGTATTTTAAATAAAGGTCACTGTGTATCCATCCATTCCTATAAGTGATCTAAACATGTCTCTATTCACATTCGATCTGCTGGATTCTGTACAAAGATTTCCCACCTTCTAGCCCTAGATACAATTCTTTGTATGCGAATGCTACAATTATAGTGCAATATTTTCTTTTATGAATAAAACATCTTTCCTCCGTCTATACTTCGATCAAAAATATATTGATAGGGTTTGGTTCATCAGTGGTAAACCTTCCCAGCGGTTTCGCCAATGTAATCCACCAAACCGCAGTGATATTGCATGCTTGATTCTAAAATGATATAGACTTATGAGTCTCTACCCGGAACTAGAAAAGTGTTCTTGGTTAAGGCATTTAAAGAATCTATAAGAGACACTTCGGCCAGAAAATTGTTTTATTTTTTCGACATTTCGACAGAGCAGCCCGTAGAACTTCTTCTCTGCTGGGGTTCGCCAGCCCCCTGACGCAGAGGATCGGTGGAGTTTCTCCCCTGCTGGGGTTCGCCGCCCCCTGTTCCAGAGAATCCGTTGAGGTTCTTCCCTGCTGGGGTTCGCCAGCCCCCTGACGCAGAGGATCCGTGAAGTTTCTACCCTGCTGGAGTTCGCCAGCCCCCTGACGCAGATGATCCGTGGAGTTTCTCCCCTGCTGGGGTTCGCCAGCCCCCTGTTCCAGAGAATCCGTGGAGTTTCTCCCCTGCTGGGGTTCGCCAGCCCCCTGTTCCAGAGAATCCGTTGAGGTTCTACCCTGCTGGAGTTCGCCAGCCCCCTGACGCAGAAGATCCATGGAGTTTCTCCCCTGCTGGGGTTCGCCAGCCCCCTGTTCCAGAGAATCCGTTGAGGTTCTTCCCTGCTGGGGTTCGCAGCCCCCTGACGCAGAGGATCCGTGGAGCTTCTCCCCTGCTGGGGTTCGCCAGCCCCCTGTTCCAGAGAATCCGTTTAGGTTCTCCCCTGCTGGGGTTCACCAGCCCCCCTGTCCCAGAGAATCCGTGGAGGTTCTTCCCTGCTGGGGTTCGCCAGCCCCCTGTTCCAGAGAATCCGTTGAGGTTCTATCCTGCTGAGGTTCGCCAGCCCCCTGACACAGAAGATCCGTGGAGTTTCTCCCCTGCTGGGGTTCGCCAGCCCCCTGTTCCAGAGAATCCGTTGAGGTTCTTCCCTGCTGGGGTTCGCCAGCCGCCTGACGCAGAGGATCCGTGGAGCTTCTCCCCTGCTGGGGTTCGCCAGCCCCCTGTTCCAGAGAATCCGTTGAGGTTCTCCCCTGCTGGGGTTCGCCAGCCCCCTGTCCCAGAGAATCCGTGGAGGTTCTTCCATGCTGGGGTTCGCCAGCCCCCTGACGCAGAGGATCCGTGGAGCTTCTCCCCTGCTGGGGTTCGCCAGCCCCCTGTCCCAGAGAATCCGTGAAGGTTCTTCTCTGCTGGGGTTCGCTAGCCCCCTGTTGCAGAGGATCCGTGGAGGTTCTTCCCTGCTGGGGTTCGCCAGCCCCCTGACGCAGAGGATCCGTGGAGATTCTCCCCTGCTGGGGTTCGCCAGCCCCCTGACGCGGAGTATCCGTGGAGATTCTTCCCTGCTGAGGTTCGCCAGCCCCCTGACGCAGAGGATCCATGGAGCTTCTTCAGAGAGCAACATCAGTGGTGGAGGATCATCTTGGCATTAGAAATCTATTGTTAGGGGGTAATGTAATTATTTTATTAATAATGAGCTATTTATACTCATATATCAACTAAAGATATTTTAACCTCCAACATTAAAATCAGAAAATTACACATGCACACGAAGACTATTTAAATCTCTATTACTACCAAGATATTTCTTTCAGTGTCAATTTCTTAAAAATTAATTTTGTAAATGAAAATTTTTATTTTTATCTGAGATTAAATTGGTATGTTAAGTTTAGATCACCGATTATAAAGTTTCACAAATGTATTTTAAATGTAAAACCAACTAGGTATCTTCTTTGTAGAAGTGTGTGAAATAATTACCAATAAATTCTTCTTATTGAAGCAAATGATTAACCATTTGATTCTAAGAACCTGTTACACAATGTTTCAAATTGGGATAAATTGTTTTTCTTTTTTTTATTTAAATATTTCTCTTACAATATTTAATGAAAAATATTGAGGTAAGAAACACCCCCTATTAATTATTAAATGCGCTATTTCATAACCTCTCTGTAAATCATTGAAAAAGTTTCTCAGTTTACCTACCATATGGGTATTTAGGTATAAATAGCAAATTATCAGTGTCCATAGGTTATGTTTATGTCCATAGGTTCAATAAACACTCCTAAGCTGCATTCCATAGAGAATGCAGGGTATATCCTAAAATCAATCCAATACAATAATAGAGCTGTCTAGAGATTAATTTGGCTAAACCGCTGAGAGGTTTCACCACTGATGAGCCCAGCCCTCTCATTCAATAACTTTTATCATTGCAGTAAGGTCTGTTGAGATAATTTTTGATGATATTATTGTAAAGAAACACATTGCCAGTAAATTTATTTGTTACAAAAGTATCAGTGTGTTGGTAGGAAATTAAAAGCTAATTTTTATTAGGTTAAGGGCATCATTGGTGATACATACGAAGTGTGCTCAAAAAGTATCGCGACTTTTGAATTTTCGCAGGTTACGTATATTCGAATTTCGATCTTTTTGTGGCTTTATGTTGGTACTCATGTCTCTCACTTATGCCGACAAGCTCGGCCATTTTGAATGTTCACTTAATTGTTGACAGCTGCTTTGTTTGCAGGTGTTATGGATCGTTTACGATTTTTACCTATTAAAAAAAATGGATCAAAGAACCTTTATCAAATTTTGTGTGAAAAACGAAATTAAGTGCGCGGATGCATTCCGAATGTTGACTGTGGCATACGGAGAAGCTACCTTGGACCGAAGCAACGTTTATCGGTGGTAAAAAATTATCTCAGAAGGCCGAGAAGATGTGAACGACGAAGAGCGTTGCGGACGCCCGAGCACTTCAACAACAGACGAAAAAATTAATGAATTGGAGAAGATGATATTGGCCAATCGTCGAATCACCGTTAGAGAATTTGCTAAGGGCCTAAACATATCGATTGGCTCGTGCCATTTGATTTTTATCAATGATTTGGGCATGAGACGGGTCGCGGCGAATTCGTACCAAAATTGCTCAATTGCGACCAAAAACAGCATCGCATGAACATTGCTAATGAGATGTTGGACTCTGTCCGCGACGACCCAAATTTGCTCCAGAGGGTCATAACTGGTGACGAGGCGTGGGTTTATGGTTATGACGTGGAAACCAAAGCTCAATCATCTCAATGGAAGCTGCCGCACGAACCAAGACCGAAAAAAGCGCGCCAAGTTCGGTCGAATGTGAAATTTTGCTGACAGTTTTCTTCGATTGCAGAGGCGTGGTGCATCATAAGTTCTTGCCACAGGGTAGAACGGTCAATAAGGAATATTACCTGCAAGTTATGCGCAATTTGCGCGAAGCAATCCGCCAGAAACGCCCGGATTTGTGGAAGAACAAAAATGGGCTTTTGCACCACGATAACGCCCCTGCTCACACATCGTTGCTTGTGCGCGACTTTTTGGCCAAAAACAACACACTAATGATGCCGCAGCCACCGTATTCCCCAGATCTGGCCCCCTGTGACTTTTTCTTGTTCCCTAAACTGAAGAGGCCCATGAAAGGACGACGTTACGCTACGCTTGACGAGATAAAGACGGCATCGAATAGGAGCTGAAAAAGATTTTAAAAAATTATTTTTTTGAAGTGCTTCGAAGATTGGAAAAACCGTTGGCACAAGTGTATAATATCTCATGGGGATCACTCTGAAGGGGACAAAATAGGTATTTCCTGGCCTCTGTCACGGATGCGCGCGCATCATCATTATGATCATTATCATTATCTAATGATAATAATTATTATATTATTATTATTAAATAATATAGTCACGACCGTCTTTCCTCATTCCTCATCGGCCGCCTCTGTCACGGATGCGCGCGCACAGGACGGTCACGTGCTCGCCGGCAGCCAACGGGCGCGCGCCGCCGGCATTACGTCATAGATTATAAACACAAGGTAATAAGGCCACATCCATGATAAGGTACAGTTTGGATTATTACTATATTAATATATATAGTCACGACCGTCTGTGTCGTGTCCTCTGTCACAGATTAATATACAGTTATCATCGTCATGCGTTCTTAATTCTGTCACCGTTTGCTTTTGGTTCAGTGGTAGATGCTCGCCTGCCACGCGGGTGGCCTGGGTTCGATTCCCGGCCGATGCATTTTTTTTCTTTTTTACAATTTTTAAAACTCATTTATATTATTATCCCTATATAAATATATAAGTCAGCGTATGTATGTATGTATGTTTTTCAACTATACACGTCCACAATACGTAACTAATATGATAATTGTAACAAATAGTATTTGAATAAAAACATTCAATCGGGTAAAACACGGGCGTTGCCCGGGTCATTCGGCTAGTTTTTGTAAAAACACAAAAGTCGCAATACTTTTTGAACACACCTCGTATTGGTAATACATATTATAGATTAGTAATACATATTATATATTGGTAATGCATATTATATATTAGTAATACATATTATATACGGAGGGTGTTTCCTTTCAAATGAAACGATTTCAAACGTCCGTTAGAACTTTATTTTTCGAACGTGAATTTTTTTCATGTGTTCTATGTGCTTCCCCTTCTTCTTGGCTATCTCCCTGCATCGGACTTTCCAAGCTGCGAACACTTCCTTGACTTTGGAGAGCGAAACATTCGACCACTCCTCTTGTGCGGCTTTCCAAAGAAGGAAACAGTTATAGCGTTATAGTGAAAAAGCTAAAAGCAGAAGGACTAGATGTTGGCAAAGCTACAATATGTAGGGTAGTAAATGGCATCGGAAAGAAAAGGGAAGCTGAATCCAATGGGCAAAAATTTCAAGTCGATCGACCACGTCCGGTGCGGACCCCCGCCACGGTTTCCAAGGTAAAGCGGCTAGCAACTACTGAAAATCCACCATCTCAGCGCCAACTTTCCAGAATGTGTGGAACATCGCTAAAAACGATAAATAACATCATTCACAAAGATTTTGAACTGGATACCCGACGAAAAGGCAAGGTTCACAAGCTCACCCCTTTCCACATGAAAAACCGTGCAACGAATGCCCGGAAGCTCTACGAGGAACACCTGGCCGGTTCCAGATCGGAATATACTGCAACATTGGACGAAGCATGGATGTATGTGACGTATTGCAATGGAATCCGGAAGATCTGTTACATCAAAAGAGGCAATCAGGTCCCGGATAATTGGGTTCACCAATGCTCCGAAACTTTCCCTAAAGGTCATGGTTGTCGGGGTAATGACTGGCCGTGGAGTCCTTCCGCTCATAAAGGTTCCATCGAAGGTGAAGGTGAACTCAGAATTCTATATAGAATGCGTTCTGAAACCTGTCATCGAACAACTGAAGGACGTTTACCCAGGGGAAATGGACAAAGTGTTCCTTCATCACGACAAAGCCTCTTCCCATACCTCCAACAAAACCCAACAGTTCCTACAAGAAATGAAGGACACCCTAGGCCTAAATTTCATCAGGAACTCGGACATTCCAGTGAAGTCTCCCGACGCCAGCCCACTGGATTTTTACGGGTTCGGTATGTTGAAACAACGGCTCTTCAACCGACGTCCCAAAACTGAGGCCGGACTTTGGAAAGCCGCACAAGAGGAGTGGTCGAATGTTTCGCTCTCCAAAGTCAAGGAAGTGTTCGCAGCTTGGAAAGTCCGATGCAGGGAGATAGCCAAGAAGAAGGGGAAGCACATAGAACACATGAAAAAAATTCACGTTCGAAAAATAAAGTTCTAACGGACGTTTGAAATCGTTTCATTTGAAAGGAAACACCCTCTGTATTGGTAATGCATATTATATATTGGTTATATGTATTTTAATTTCTTAACTTTAACCACGAACATTCAAGCTCTCGCCCTCCAAACGGGAAAAAAAATGTTATTAAGAGTGAATGGGGAAGGAAGCTATATTGTATATATTATTGTTTTAGGCAACATACGGCAGATATATGCCTTTTTAATAAAAAATCTTTATGGATTTCTCTATTTTCAAATATATATGAATATTTCTAAAAACCTTACTCAATAAGTTCCTTTATTTCAAAAACACTGCGAGCTTTCATTGGGCGAGAATAAATCTTGATTTGGAGTGTGACAGAATTGCTCTGGTATTCCTTTGTAGATACTCTTCTTATAAATTTCGCTCTATGTAGGATTAAATAACTTATTGCGTTTTTAGATATTTCATAAAATTATATCACAAATTTCTTATATCTGTTTTATTTAACATTATTTTAATATTTAACGAATTTTCGAAGATTTTTCTGAAACGAATTCAATGATGATTGATTCCTGGTGTGGAACTAACACCTACCCACATATTGTCATGCCCAGCCCAGCAATGGCCGCAGAAAATTGAAATGGAGCCAGAGCAGCATCATTAAACCCTCAAGATAAAGGACATTGCTACACGCTGTGATAGAGATACATGGCGACATCTAAGGCTCTTCTTTGGACACGGTAACAACCACAACTGATAATTAACATGGAAGAACAGCAGTTTTACACAATAGAACATCAAACACGACAACAACATCAACAATAGAAAATTGGCATGGACCCAGAACAGCAGCTTTACACACCCAAGGTAGAAGACAATGCGACTGCTATGATTAGAGATGCATGGGGACATCTGAGGCTTTTCATTGGACACGGCAACAACAACAACAATAATGATTATAAAAATTCTTATTTGACCACAAATCAAGATTAGAATCATGTAATTCTTTTCGGTTGTTATTGAACTGATTGATATCAAATCAGTGTTAAATGTTTTCATTGAATAATGAAATTAAATAATAAAATATAATTTATTTCTTCACCACAAAATACGAGGGCCATCCAATAAATAAGTTTCCCTATTTTTAAACAAATAAACAACATTATTTACAATTATGCAGTTATTTTATTTTCATTATACAACTCATAGACTACTTATCTACCTAATTACCGTTTCTGTCCAAACATTTTTGGTACCGTTGAAGCAATATTTTGATACCACTGTTGTACCAAGCCGTGTCCTGTCTTCGTAGCCAGTGGTTCGCCTCCGCCTGCACTTCGTCATCATTCGCAAAGTGCTTGCCTCCAAGGTGCAACTTGAGTGCTGGAAATAGATGGAGGTCGCTTGGGGCAAGATCCGGAGAATAAGGTGGATGTATTAAAATTTCCCATTTGAAGTTTTCCAGCAACGTTTGGGTCGTTCGACCTGCTTGAGGGCGAGCATTGTCATGGAAGAGTAACACTTTCCGAGACAAAAGTCAAGGACGTTTCCGTTTTATTGCAGCTCTGAGTTTAGTGAGGACTTCGCAGTACCTCGCAGTGTTTGGGGGCAGGTAGTCAACCAATAAAACACCCTTACAGTGCCAAAAGACGATAGCCATAACTTTGCCTGCTTCCACCACATTCCGAACAGCAGCAACGGCTGCATTGTCCGTAGCATTAACGGGCCTGCCTCTTCGCTCGCCATCATGCAGGTTTTGCCGTCCTTCCAAGAACCATGAACGCCATCGGCGAACCATTTGGATACTCATACACCCTTCACCATACACTGACACTAAATTGCGATGAATATTGACCGCAGTTTCCTTTTTCGCCGTGAAAAAAACGAATTACAGAACGGAGTTCGCAAGTGGACACGTTCACCAGTGGTAGCTCCATGTAAACTGAAGCACTATGGACTGGCGCGTACGAGTAGCTTGATTTTAAATGTCACGCGCTTCCAACGCATCCTAGTGACTATTTATTACACTACTAACTAATTTTTACAACGTTTCGTTCGCAGAAAAAAAATAGGGAAACTTATTTATTGAATGGCCCTCGTATATTGTGGTTAGGAAATAAAATGTGTGTTAGTTATGTAATACCAGTGCTCAAAGGGTGGTTATTTAGAACTTGGAAACCCCGCTACATTCGTAGGGAAGACTCCAACTATACCTCGAGTTTAAAATTTAAAATTGGATTACTGAAACCAGCGAGCAGAGATTTACCGAACACAACTAAACTGACGTAATCGCTGTGGGGGTTCACCATTGATGAGTCAGGCCCTCCTAATATTTGTCCAATATCAGTAATGTGAATAGAAAATTGTATTAATAATAAATATTTTGCGTCATCTAGAGAGAATAATCTCAATTTTTGATTATAGACGACGTATTAAGAGAGTTTTAGTATTGTTATATTTTCTGAATTTTCACAGTTACAAATTAAATTCCATCATTCCTATAAGTGTGAAAATAGCTATTGAACTATATAACTATCATAAAACGGTCTTGGAAAAAATATCCTTACAAAACATAAATCAAAACAAGCATATATATGTTATGAATATAATATTTTGTTGTTTGAATGATATAGAATTGAATATGCTGTCGTTGATACAAGAAAAATTTAAAATTATTATTTACTATCAATTATGTCACAAGCTGGAATGCTGCGCACTTCAAAACTAGGTGACGAGAGGTCAAAACCATGGTTTGATGGGGAATGTTACCTTGCAAAAAAAGACAATGAAGGAGAGTTTAAAAAGGTTTATGACAAAAAATGAAGCTGAAGACAGGGATTGTTATGTGAAAATTAAAAAGAAGAAATATCAGGCACTAATCAAATTAAAAAATAAAAAATTCTATGAAGATATATGCCTAGCCCTTCAGAAGACCAAAGATTCTGCCGGAATTGGAAGGCAGTATCTCTGTTTAGAAAACGGAGCAGCATAACAGGCAAAATATCGATTGCAGAATGGCAAACTTTTTATGCTAAACTTCTCTCTACAACCTCAAATCCAGAGATATATATATCACTTTATATTAGATATTCTGATCCTCTACTAGACGGTAAATTACTTATGCGGAAATAGAGACAGAAATCTTGAAACTAAAAAACGGTAAAACTCCTGGAATAGACGATATTCCCAATGAGGCGATCAAGGCCCCCCATAAAGATCAACTAAAAAGGCTAGTATGCATATTCAACCAAATTTTAGAAAACGGTTCTTTTCCATCGTTATGGTCCAAATCAATTATTCACCCTATCTTTAAAAAAGGAGATATGGAAAAACCCTCAAATTAACGCGGCATTGCACTTGTTAGCAACCTCTCCAAGCTTTTTTCATCAATTCTTAAGAAAAGAATGACTAAATGGATAGAAGACAAGGGAATA